TGTCTTAAATTTTTCTGAGATATCAACTTATCTATTGGTGTATAATAAATTACCCCAAAACTTAATGGTTTAAAACTACAATCTGTTATTATTTCATTGTTCCTGTTGTTTAGGAATCCAAGTCTCTGCTTATCTGGATCCTTCTGCCTCAAGATCTCTCAAAGTCCACAGCAAAGGTGTCAGTTGGTCTATGGCCTTATTTTAGTCAGCTCAGGCTACCATAATCAAATATCACATAGTAAGTAGCTTAAACAACAGATAAACAACGTTCTGGACATTGGAAAGTCTAAGATCAAGGTGTCAACCAATTTAGTTCTTGGTGAGGGCTGTCTTCCTGGTTTGCATACGCTCAATTTCTCAAAGTAGCAGCCTCATATGGCATAGAGAGTGCAAGCTTTAGTGTTTCTCTTCTTATAAGGGCAGTAATATCATCATGGGGCTCTACCCTCATGACCTCATCTAAACTTTATTACTTCTCAAAGACCCTAATGCCATCACATTTCGGGTTAAGGCTTCATAATATGACTTTTCAAACATTTGGGATTCAAACATTAGGTCAATAACAGGTCTCATCTAAGGCTGCATTTAGCAAAGAGCCATTTCCAAGCTTGCTCACATGGTTGTTCGCAGGATGAAGTTCCTGTGGGTTGTTGGACTGAAAACTCTTACTTCCTTTCTGCTCTTGGAAGGAAGCCTCCAGTATTCCTTGCCACATGGGCCTTTCTGCTCATAGCCGCTGTCTTCCATAATAAGCAGCAAATGAGAGAGAGTGAGAGAGGGTGTGTAGGATAGGGGCCATGTCCTCTTTGTGATCTAACCTGGACATGATATCCATCACTTTTGCCATTCTCTATTTATTAAAAGCAAATCATTAGGTCCAGCTGATACTCAGGGGAGGGAACTACACAACAGCTTGAATACCAGCAGGTAAGGATCATTTGGGGCCTTTATAAAGGCTGCCTACCCCAAGGTCTTGTAGCTATACCCTTGCTTTGAACTTCCTTAAGGCCACATTTCCTTGATATCACCTTGGATTTGAGCTTTGCTGTTAGGTTTCTGTGACAGCAGGACCTCACTTTTAGGCATGCACTTATGTTTCAGTCATCTCTTGCTGTATAACAAAAACACCCTAAAGCTTAGTGTCTTTACACAACAGCACTCACTTTTTTGCTATTTTACAAGTTGGGCCAGACTCCGTGAAGACAGCTCATCCGCCTTCATGTGGCGTCAGCTGGGCAGCTAAACTAGGGCTGGATTATCCACTTCCAAGATAACTCACTGACAAGCTGGCAATTGGTACCGGCTGTCCGCCGAGAGCTCAGCTGGGGCTGTAACTCTCCTCCACGTGGGCCTCTGCACATGGCCGCGTGGGCTTCCACAGTAATTGGAGGGAAGTGATTGAATCTCACAACTATTTAGGAGGTGAAAAGATCAGGAGGATGTTACACAACAATGTGAATATACTTCATCCTACTGTACACTTAAAAAATGGTTAAGATGGTAATGTTATGTTGTGTGTTTTTGCCACAATTAAAAAGTAATAAATCAGGGGACGATGGTGACAGCCTGGAGGTGGGTGAGAGTGTGGTGAGGGAGAAAGAACATCAAGAGTGAGAAAACCCAATAAAACACAGACTCTGGCCTCAAAAACTTTTTTTTTTTTTTTTTTTTTGTCCAGCAGAGGATGCAGAAGAGTTCATCACAACACATGTGGTAGATACTGTAGCTTTCTGCTGTTGCGCTAACAAAGATACAAAGCCCCGTGCCTCAAAACAGACCTTAAAGCCTGCGATTCCCAGAGAGAAGCATTTAAGACATAATTACAGGTTTAGATTTCTTAAAGCATGCCTCAAAACGAACACTGCCAGAGGAGCAGAGAGGAGTAATAAAAACTACAGGTGCATACAATCTTCCCCACCAATCCAGCATGGAAGCTGGTAGGCCAGAAGCAATGCGGTAGGCTGGTGGGCAGGACAGAAAGCAGATGTTTCTTGGTCATTAGCCCTACGTTTCTAGGATATAAAGTCCCTTTGTTGTCTTATGACTTGGTGCGTCTGGAAACTATTGCTACTGCGGAGATCTCACTTTTGGAACTCTCTTTCTTTGAAGTAGTAAACAGGTAATAAAGATCATTTATATCCCGAAGGAATGTACATGCCCTTTCTCCCCCCCAACCCCACCACCTCCCACACGGTCAAACTCTTTCCCCATACTCACAGGGTTTTATAAATAGCCAAATTTACAGATTTTTTATTGAGTTTTGTTGGCAACACGATTCTATTGTTCTTTTGATAAGCTTAAACCATTCTTTAAAAACAAAATATATATATATTTTATTGATTTTTTTTTTTTTTTTCCAGAGAGGAAGAAGAGAGGGATAGTTAGAAACATCGATCAATCAGCTGCCTCCTGCACACCTCCTACTGGGGATGTGCCCATAACCAAGGTGCATCCCCTTGACTGGAATCGAACCTGGGACCTCTCAGTTCACAATCCAATGCTCTATCCACTGAGCCAAAAGGGTTTCGGCGCCTAAACCATTCTTAATGGAAAGGAAAATATAGGAGCCCTCCTTTTACTGGCTTAGTACCCCCACCCCATACACTTTTCTAAAAACACTCTCACCCTTGACTAAATACTCTAGGTCTCCCTGCTTTGTTGTGAACTACCTGAAGCGTCAGCTGACCGGCTGAGTGGTGTGATTTTATTTTTCCTTTTCTTGAAATCTCACCCGTTGTCCCATTCTGCACAAGCTCTCTATCTGGGGTCTCCCCTATGCAAAATAACAAATAAAGATCACTACCATGAGTTTTCCTAGTGCCCTCATGGAAGCTCTCCATGCTCAGATGCTTCCATGAATTCAGACCCTCCTGCTAATCATGGAAGAATCTAATGTTATTCAAGCTTGAAAGTCAAAACTGATAAGACAATGTGTTCATTTATTAAAAAACATTGAGAGCCTACTATGTGTCAGGCACTGTATAGGTCTTGGGAACACAACCATGAGCAAGACAAACAAGGATCCTCTCATGAAATTTGCTCTTTTTTTTTTTTTTTTTTAATCCCAGAGATTTTTGACTTTTAACAATGGACAAAGTGCTGGCTTGGCTTAAAGACAAAAGAATCAGGTTCTGTTTGGAATGAAGCCACGTTTCCCTGAGTGGGGGCAGGGGAGGTCCTCTCAGCATCCTGGAATCACACACCTTCCACATGCTCACCAAGTCTGCCTGGAACCATCAATGACTAGATCAACTGTCATTTTTCTTGGGCCTCTGCCAGGCTGCAGCAACACAATGCCTTTCTGTGAAGGGGATTCGGTAAAAGGCAAGAGAGGGCGAGGCGGGTAAAGTGCTGGCATTACCGGTCAGCACCGAGACCACCACGCAGCCAGTGCTCGGGGACACAGTGCCCCCTCGTGGCTCCGCATGTGCCAGAGTGAGGAGCTAGAAGTGGGAACGGCTGTCCCAAGTTTCCAGATTAATTACCTCCTCTCAACTTCTACTGCCATTTGAAGACCCCGGGTTCGTTTGTATCCAGGACACACCTCTCTCTTGCCGGAGAGAGAAATGACATCCTGACAGCCATGAAGTCTCCGCATCAAAATCTTCAGACTCCCCTCACCACCAAGAAAAACCCAAGTATCCCTACTGGTTTTCCTTCCATCATGCTCTCAAAGCAGATATTTTCTTTGCTTTCCGCAATTGTAGCCAGGATGTGCGATCGTGTTGCCGTGGAGCTGCTTTGGGGTATCTCGTCGCCACAACACCGCTTCCAACGCCCCAACACGGAAGCCTTATCTTCAATCCCCCGCGCCGCCCTCTCCCCTCCCCGGCGGCACTCAAACCCGCTCCCAAAGACCGGCGGGGAGAGGGGGTGGGGCGGGGAGATAAACAGCGAAGTAAGCAAATAATTAGCAATGGTGATTGCTGCTGAGCTGAAGGAGCAGCGTGCTGGGAGGGCGAATTCCTGGGGTGGGAAGTGAAACGGAACCTACTGCTGTTCGGGAGTTTTCAATGTGTGTTTGTGGCAGTCACGTTTGAAAAGCTTAAACGATAACAGTATTGGAAAAGCTCTCCATGGCCCGGGAGTAAATGGAACAATGTTAATAACAATGCTAACTTCCACGTATTGTAAACTTAGGCCGGGTAAGAAGGCGTGCTGGGTGCTATCGCTCTCCCAAACGGCCTACAATCTGCCCTCACAGCGAACTGCGGGAGATGAACCGAGCACACCGCCCCGCAGGTGAGGAAGGGAGCGGAGCAAACCGGCCTCGTGCTCCGACCTCCTGGGAGGCCAGCCCTTTCCTTCAGCTGCTGTGACCTCCGGAGGTCTGCCCCGGCCTCCGGTTCGGCTCGCAGGGAGCAGTGTTCCCACAGCCAACCAATATTTGCCCAGTGCCTGGTGTATACCTGGTAGCGCATTTTAAAGGCTGTGAGACCGAAAGGTAAACAGGGTCTGGTCTCGTTGTCCAGGGAGGGGCTCTCAGAAGAGTGAGGAAGACAGCCAGGCAAACAGATGATTCCAGGGCGGCCCGGTGCGGGCTGCCAGGGGGAGACGCCCCGGGGCCGGGGAGGCGGCGTTCCCGCATCCTGTCACTAGGAAGGGAGTAAGTGGGTCTAATCCGGTCCTGGAAAGAGGGGCAGGCTTTGGGATAGGGGCTCCAGATCCCTCGTGAGAAGCCAGCAAACAAAAGTAGCACATCGCACTTCGAGGGGGGCCTGGCGCTCCGAAGCCCCGCACCAGAGCCCCGCGCACGGCCCCGCCAGTTCACCAACGTCGGGCCGCCCAGAAGCAGGCTCACCCTGAGGACCTGGCCATCCCTCCCCTTCGGCGGCCCTGACCCTCCGACCTGCCGCGGAGCCGGGGCCCGGGGCCCCCCGCGTCCCCTCCCAGCTCTCTTCCCTGGGCCGCGGGCCGCCCCTCCTCCTGCGGGGGCTTCGCCCTCCGCGTCCCGTCCCGTCCCTCCCGGCGACAGCCACTGCCGGGCCAGGGAGGGCGGGGGCAGGAGGAGGAGGGGAGGGGAGGGGAGGGGAGAAGGGAGGGGAGGGAGGAAGGCGAGAGAAAGGGAGCTGCCCGGATCCCGGACTTCCCAGAGCCTGCCCGGAGCGCGCACTCAGCGGCTCCCCGTCCCAGCGCCCCCGCCGCCCCGCACTCCGCCGCCGCCGCCTCCGCCCCGCGCCCCCCGCCCCGCCTTCCAGGAGCCGCCGGGCCCCTCGGCCGCCTCCCCACTCTCCGGGGTCACTCCTGGAGCGCGCGCCCTCGCCCATCCTTTCTTCCTTCCTCCCCTGGCGCCCGCCCTCGCTCTCCAGGTCTCCGCCCGGGTCCCGATCGCCCCGGTCGGTCCCGCCTCGGTCCCGGCGCCTCGCCTCGCCCGCCCGGAGCCCCGCTTCCTGAGCCGCCGCCCCGCGCCCGCCGCCCGGGGACGGGAAGAGGGCGAGCCCGCCGCGCCCAGCCCCGCGCCCGCCGCCCGGCGAGGGAGCCCGGGAAGATGAACAACGGCGTCAAAGCCGACGACAGCCCCGCGAGCGAGGCCAGCCTCCAGGAGGAGGAGGTACGGGGCTCCGGGTGCGGGGCCGCCGGGCGCGGGGCGCGGGGTGGGACGGCCCGGAGGGGGTCTCCTCCGAGAGTGCGTTTCCGTGGGTGCGCGCCTGGCATTGCGTAACTTTTCGGACTTTTCGGAGACTTTCTTGTAAGCATAATGCTCAGCTTTGTCTCCCCGAGACTTTGAAAGCGGAATCGAAAACTGACTCCGGGGTGACCTCAGATCCCTGGGAGCCAGGGGTTGGGGCGCGGGAAGCGGGGGGAAGGGGGTGCAGTTTGTGGGGTGTGTTTGTGAATGCGGTTCAAGGAAGAACTCGGGGAAAGTTCGTCCCAAAAGGATACCCTCCGTGCCCTGCCCCCTCCCTCTCAGCGCTGGAAGGTCTCGGTGAAATATCTTCCCGGCGGAGGCATTTTGGATTAATAGATAACTCCTGAGCCACATGCTTCTCTGATGAGTCAAAGACCCCGAACCTGGGCGATTAGGTTTTGTCAATTTAGGGCGACGCGGTGCTGAGGAGTAGGGGCGGGTGGAGGGGGGGTGGGGAAAAGGAAGCTTAAAACTTGACAATTCACCAAGTGGTCATCGAAGCTGTTTTAATAGGACTTGGACTTCTGAGCCTACATTGCTTGTGGGGGGTCCCTAATAACAACAACTGAAAGGTTGCGGCTGCGCAGCGCTCCTTCGATACAAACAATTCAGGGAGGGTAGGAGGGAACTCCTCAACGCAGCTTTCAGAATCGTGTCCATACACTGGTGGTGTCCCGTGTGATGCTTCTGTTCCCGCAGGTGCAGTCTCTGGGGTCCAAGAAGCAGTCTGTTTCGCCTACTTTTTAAAGAGCCCACCCACTTGGGTTCTAAGACATCCTAAAAAGGACTTTAGAGTGCGCGTGGATGCAAGTGTGCATGTAGATCTGACCTGTAAAGCACTCTTAACAGATATTTATCCCAATAGAGGAGGTTAGCAGAAAGATTCTAAACTTATAAAGTTTGTAGGGTGTTTAGATTATTACTGAGACACTGTGGTGTGTGACCTAAAATTCTGCCAGGGAAGCCAAGCTTTGTGGAGGTTTAATAAGTACATATAAGCCATCAGCACATTGTCCACTTGTAAAACGGGACATATTTAAATGGGGATGATAGGGGAGAGACCTAAGAAGATGCAAACTTACATGGTAGTGTCACCTCAGTGAATTGCTGCAAGCCAAAACTTGCCTTCTCACTGGAGGAAATTGCCCATTTGATTATGAACTGTTAATTTGAAAAGTGTTGCTTCCATTCTTGTTTTCAACAAGTGAAGCAACCGTATAGACATTTTATTTTTCAAAAAGATAAAGATTCCCATTTTCAAGTTCTACTTTTTCTTGAACCTTACTGGGTTGCTTTGCTATTTATTTTCCCTACCTTTGAAGTAGATAAAATTTAAGAAACAGTGACATTTGCCTTTTTTTTTTTTTAAAGAATTGCTACATGTTACTAATTCACCTAACATCACTGTAATACTTGCTTCAGAAACCTTTCTATTTCAGTTAGGTTGGCAGGCTGTTTACTTCTAAGGGTGGAGCTATATTGTAGGAAACCATCTTTCTGTGTGTTCATCCAATTGAGAAAACTTGCAAATGGGAAATAGTTAAATCAGGCAAACCAAATTTTTTTTTTTTTTTTTTTGGATGTAGGTAGCAAAAGGTTTGCATATTCCCAGTTGTAACCTACTTGATAAAATTAGAGAAAAGTCACATTTTTCTGCTTGACTTTTTATCTGTCCTGTTGCCCTGACTTCCTTTTCAGGTGGGAATGGCTTATGGCTCAAGGAAGTGTCCGTGGTCTTAGCAAGGTATTTGCTATTTTTTTTAAAAAGAGGACAGGTAGGAAGATTTCAGAACCCAAATTGCACAAGAGGTGAAGAGAGAGGGTTTATAACGTTAAGATTTCAGGAAAAGTGAGGAAGTTGGCCTGAAGGATCCAGGTAATTTTGCCCTAATTCCCTGGTTTGGGTTATGTTTTGATTTGGAAAAACTCCTAACCTCTTTTGTCTAACCCTGAAAGCCACAAGTAAAATAAATATGGTTTTTAGTGAGTCCCATTAATGTGCTCAGCATTATACAAAACTGCCACACTGGATCCTTTTCCCGCCCACCCAGCGATCAGCAGTTTGTCCCCAAACCCATTTAAAAGTCTTAGCTGAGGACTCGGGTAAACAGTACACACAAACAAAATGTTATATACACATAATGGCAAGAGAGGGAAAAAATGTGTCTTGCTGTAGTTTCTGGTGGTGATTGAATTGAGGAGGAAAAGAGTCAAGTCATCAAGAGAAAATAGTTTATTTCATAGATCATCCGGGTAATTTACCCTCTCTGAGCCACATTATAGAATCCAAGTAATTTTCCCCCTATTTTAAAAATAAGTTCCTTTTCTTTTCCTGGACATTTTATCTCAGCTTCTAGAGCTTACACTGAAATAACTGATGCAAAAACACTTAATAGGTTACAACTGTATGGATTGTAAGTCAATTTTCTTGTACTTAAATCTAAAAAAGCAGTCTAGGATTTAGGAGAATATTTTGCAGCTTTTTAAGTTTGGAAGTTTTGTTTTTTTTTTTTTTTTTAAGAACTGGGGCAGGACATATACTTCTGCTTTGGGTAGTATTTAAAACTTAGGGGGAAAATAATTTTAAGATTTGGCTAGCCAACTGTGGAAGAGAGAACACATCTGGCTATGCATGTGTATTGCTATGCAAGTTGTAAAGGAAAACTGGTTGTCAAAATCTTTCTGGGATCTGAGAGTTATAAGGCTTATGTATAGGGTATTAGATTATTTCTTATATCATTATGCAATTAACAAAATAATTCCTAGAATTTGCCTCTAATTTTGGACTAGGCAGTATTTTCTGAAACACCTTTGGTAATTTACACTTGATCAGACTTTATTAATAGTAAGTAATGACTTAAACTTATTTACCAGTTGTTTTAAATATGAGCTCTCTTAAAATCTAGTAATGGTAGACATAATGACTTTTCAAAATAGAAATTTCTTTTTGGGAAATAAGCTAAATAAATAATTTGCTTTTAGTTTTATTTTGTGTCATTGGGTACTTTTTAGGCTGATTACAGGTTATTTTTTTAAAGTGTTTTATTATGTTGAGGTGCTGGTGTTAGAGTAATTTCTCCCTAAATTGCATTGACTGAGTTTTCTTGTACTTAAATCTAAAAAAGCAAAGGACTTTGGCAGTGTTGGAATGTTGATCAAAAAGATGTTTGGCAGATGTTGGGCAGAAATCAACGTAGTCAAGTCAGTTTTTCAGAAGTTAATACCAATCTTTACCTCTCATTCCTTCTTTTAAAGTGGGTAGTAATTTTGCCAAAATATTGGGGTCATGAAGAAAATTGTTTCTTACAATTGGCACAGAGAAAAGGGTACCATGTCCATTTGGTGTGGCAACCTCAGGTTTTCATCGAGTGTTAAGATTCATCTATATTATGAAAAGTACAGAATGGTTTTATACGATTTAACCATGTCTGGAGTTTCTGTTTCTCCAAATCAAATCTAATACAATCAACATATACTTCAGTCAAAGGACAGATTTGGTGACAAGAGCTTTGGGTGGAAATGTGGTGACTTCATAGTAAAGTGATGCTGCAAGGTCACCGCCAACATGGCGCACGCTTTTTGTTATTCTGGTGGTTTTTGTTCTTCTCCCTGTGGTGGTTTTCCCCTGATAAACCCTTCTGTTCATGTGCAGGCTTCTTTGTTTCCAATGGCATTTGTTTATGGGATAGATAGTTTGGCTAGGACAAAAGTGATCAGTTTTGGGATGGGGAAGAAAAAATATCTTGAGGACTTAAATCAACAGAAATGTATTTCCTCCCAAATCTGGAGGTCAGGGATTTTAGAAGCAATGTGTGTCCACATCGCCACGCTCCCTGGGAGAATCTTATTTTGTCTCTTCCTGCTTCTGACTACATTTTAAATGAGGGGATAATCCTCAATGTTACAACATTATATGAAGAGAAAATATTTTTAATATCCATACCATATGCCAGTTCTTAAAAAAAATACATGTCAAATAATAAGCAAAATTGTCAGATTGGTGGATTATAGATCATTTTTATTTACTTTCTGATGTTTTTCTGTGCTTTCTGGGTTTTCTAAAATGAACACATGAACAAAAACAACGTCTTTTGCTTTGTAGATGTCATTATGTTTCTTTGCGCTATCTGTAGGTGTCACGAAACCACTGGTCTGGTTCCGTTCTGTTTTGTTCACAAGTGTGGCTGCAGGAATCGGACCTCTTCTCTTCTCCTAGCCTTTCTTCACAGTGTTTCTCACCTACTCCCTTGTCCTGGCTCATCTTCGTGATCTTGAGCTGCTCTCTTTGTTCTCATCTGTTTTCTCAATCCATCCCTACACCCCTTTGCAGTGTCCTCTGACTCCCTCAGCCTCAACGTCTTCAGCGTAAGGCTGATCTCCACACAGTAAGATCCAAACTTGACAAAATTGCCTGAACATACTCTGCAAACCACTGCTTTCACCCACTGTTCCCCTCTTGATCTTGCCTGCACTGCTCTCAAGTTTCAGCCTTCATTTTTGCAGGATCCCATCACTCAATCCCTAAGAGATGGTTTTCCTCAGAATCCCAGTTATCTCTGGTAGCTTTCTGTTATCTTCATTTAAGTCCTGAATCATTACCTTCTTTCCTGTGGTATTTTTTTTTAAAGATCAGTGACATCTTATCACAGTATTCCCAACACTCAACACCTACTACCCCAATACCAGCGAAGTACTGCACACACAGTTGCAAACTACACACACACACACACACACACACACACACACACACACACCTTTTTCTTTATACATGCATCATTTATAAAACAGCCTTATTGGTAGGATTGGTGATGATGTTAAAAAGCAGCCACCGTTTGTGATAGAGATCCCTTGCCCACAGTCATGGATGGATCCGCTGGGAAGTTAACTCCCTCCACCTGCCATGAACGGCCTCCATTTGAGTT